AAATGAGAAAATAAATATTTAATAATTACTATTATAAATATTCTTTATAATACCTAAGAAAGGGAATTTCTTGAGTATTGTAAAATTTTATTTATGACAGAGACAGTCTTAAATAAAATTTACTCTTACTAAAACAGTTTAGCATTTTTATCTCAGTTGTATTTATAGTAGTGCATTAGTTTTATTTTTCAAGTGCCAGAAAGCCTAATTATTTTCAAATTAACAAAATGTCTTTTTATAACATTCAAACACTGAAAATTAAAATTAATAATTTTCAAAAGTTTACACTATAATTTTCATTAAATACAATCTTAAGGGATCTTAATTACTATATTTCAACAGTATCATCATTAGTAGTAGTAATCATTCATAAAAATGTTAATGATATTAATAACAGCACTTGTGAAATTGACAAGGAAGTTAAAGTACTTTCAATACAAAAAAAATACTGAAACCTATTCAGCAGGACTTAGGAAAATCACTAATTGGAAAACCGTCTACTGAGCAGATATGAATTTTATTGTTTTTAAATATTTTTTTAATATTGATCAGTTATAGATAACTTCAATAAGTGGACAATTTCAATAACATACTGCAAAAACTTCTCTTAATTTTTTCCATTTTCATACAATTTCAGTTTATAGTTAAATTCAATTGATCATTAATGATGAGGTTAGGTAAACTTCTGCATTTTAGATTGTATTCAGTATATAGCATAATTAGTTGTATTATCCACTTGCTAGGAATATTTCCTCAGACTCCAATATAACTTTGATGTGCATAAAATGATTTTATTTACCTAGATTTTTTTATAAAACCAGAAAAATAAATTGGAGAAGAGCTTTTCTCAATTTTATGTTTTTGGGGGTTTTTTTACAAAAAATATTGATGTATAAAAAGAAAAAAAATGTATACAAATTTATTAAATTCAAGATATTAAACTTTGTATTATTTTTTTTTTTTAATCTTTCTTTTCTTTATTAACTGTGAATTGCCATGCCTTCAAAGGAAAAGATAGGAGTTTCCCCATTGTTAACTACTGTTTAGAATTTAGAAATTTTCTTTTATGACTTGTTTCCATGCAAGATTAGAGATTTCCATCTACTTTAATATTTAACCCATAACTGGGGGGAGAAACAGATTCATGCTATTCTACAGGGGATTTGTACGAAAGAGAATGTAACAGACTATGCCAGAATTTGAACTCGGCCTGACAATTCCACTTTCTGTTCTGATATCTGTTACACCCTTCCTGCAAGTAAAAACTATATTCAATAAGTTTTATTTGCTAGAGTTAAAAAATATTGAGTTGAAATGTTTTGTTCCTTCAAAATCCTCACTTAACAGGTTCTAGTAATTTTAACTGTGAAATAATTATGTACAGAATAATACATGTTAAATTATTATTCAATGTTTTTCATTGATTTCATAACCTTTTAAAAAGATGTACATAAAATGTTTTTAAATCCAGATGCATATACTTAAAAATCCTTAATATTAAAAGTTTCACATTTCTAACATTAATCAATTTAGAATTATTGCAGTAGCATTAACTTTAGATTGCATACAACTCAAATAGACTTATCTTTGATAAATGATAAATAACTAAAAAACAGAAAAACAAAGAACATAATTTTTGATTGACAGAATAACTTGATTTATTGTTTGTATTTCTATCTACTATTTCTTTGTATCTTTTATACCATTTTATTTATCTGTATAAGATGATATAAATAATAAGTGCAACTTCTAGTGAAAATAATGTTCTGCATATGATGTGAATAAATATCAAAATATAAGCAAAATCAACTATACTTTTTGAATAGAAACCAAATTCTTATAGGCAGAAAAATATAATTATTTTATAATAGACTGCCTCTTTTCTCTGTATGTGAAATAAATCTTTAAACTCTGTAGTCATAATTTTTTTCTATGGACATATTTAAACCAACTGACTGTGACAATTTTATGATATTTGTCATTTCTGTACATTTAAAATGAAATCATTAACTTTAATAATTAATCTATCCAAAAGTAAGTCTATTCCAATTATTTAATACCACCAGTGAAAATAGCCAAAATGCTTTTGCCCCATAATAAACAAGTGAAATAATTATACAAGCTAGTTTCAAACATTATTATTATTGTAATGCATTTGATCCTCACTAGGTGCTCCACATTCAGAGTCAAGATTAGAAAATATCAATAAACTCATGCAACACAGATAACATTCAGCTTTCAGGCTGAGTAACTTTACTTGTTATGCATATGGAAATGAAATGAAAATGTGAAAAGAAAATTACTTTTTTTCTGCCAATACATGAAAAAGTGAAAAGAAAATTTTTTTTTTTTCTGTCAATACAATACCAAAAGGAATATATTATTTACAAAATTTCATTGGTCATACCATGCAATTTTGAGCTATAATTGCTCTAACAACTTTTATTATTAGCCAAAAACTATGGTTAAAGTGTTTTCATAGGTGAATTCTGTTAACACAAAGTTTTCTCTCCATCATTAGATAATGTACTGTGAGAAACAGGAAAAAATTGTCTAATGATTATTGAAGCATGGTTGTACATTATACAAGATAACAATCTGCAGAAAAAGGAACATGACAATAGAAAAAATAAAATGAAATAAAGTCTTAACAAAAGTAAAAAGTAATTTGTTAATTCAAGTGACAGGCTTGTGCTGTCCATTTTGCAATATGAGATAAATCTAATATACTGAAAATACCAATGCATGTAATTAGGAAAATTTGTACATATTGACAATGATCTCTACTATTCAATATATACTAACTAAATATTGAAATAAATGCTATATATAATGTTTATGATATTATCAAACAAATAAACAGATCAACCCCAGATTTTCCTACAATAACTTCATAAAATAATTACATTTTATATGACTAAAGCAAACTGTCATATAAATAAAATTAATGACCTTCCACTTTCATATTTAATTCTAGACTATCCATTGACTAAACATGGTCATGAGGAGATTTTATTAGGGATATCAACCAGAAAATCTACATAAACAAAAGTTTTCTGTAAGGAGGCTGTAAAAGAAATGATTATTAAACTACAATGCAGTGTTTATATTTAGACACTTAATTTGTTAATTAGAGAATATAAAAATTTGCAGAACCTTGTACTTTTATAGTTGCTTATCTGCATATACAAGCTTTAAAATAACTGTTACAATTTGTACATCTGAACATTGTGGCTTGCTTTCAAGATTTTATATAACTCCTTATCAAATACTAAAAAGAGCAATATATTGAATTATTTAGAAATATTAATGTGTCTAAATTCAATAGAAGGAAATGGAAATTTATTCTATGAAATACATACAGTTAACTATTTTGATGTTAAAAATTAATTAAAAAAAAACTCAAGTTGATGTTAAAATGCTTAACAATCAAATAAATATTTAAACATTCATTTTGAAAAGTACCATACTGACCGTCTTTGTGATATTAACTTGAAACACTTTTACAGCAGACTTGGAATGACTACTTGCCTTACTACAGTCAGGATTACTGAATCTCAAATAGCAGAATCAGTTTTACTTAAATTTAGTTTCTCAGATCTATTTCAAGTTTAGTAACATTCCTTTAATTGCTGAACTTGTATTGTGTTTCAGTCAGGCTATCCATTAATTATACGTTTATATCTGACCAGTATATCATGACATGAAGACACAATTAACTAAAACACCAAAATGGAAATAACACAAAGAGAACAAAAAGGTTTCATTGGATTTTAAAATGTTTTTAGTAAAGCCTTTTCATTCTTACATTGCATTGTTTATTTGAAAATAGTGAGTTTGTAAACATTTATAGTAATAGAAAAATAAATAAAAATACACAAATAATAACAAGGAGACCAAAATTTTAACATCTCTAAAAATAGATGCATATTCAAAATTGCTAGGCCATGAAGCCATAATCTGATCAACCAATCAGAAACCATACCAACCAGGATACGAGCATCCTAGTCTAACAAGTGAATAAGAAACAAGTTTAAATTCCAAATTTAAATTTTTTAAAATTGCAGGTGGCAAACAAAAAAAAAAAGGGACCTGGTCATTATTGAGAAAAGAAATTTAGGAATAGAACAGACTGTTGCATTCATCTAATTCAACAGTAAAATGGTAAAAACTAGTTGTCAGTCTAGTAGCAAGCTTAAATTCATGCACTCGAGGTACTGGGGGGAAAAAAAGCTCATTAGAACAGTTGCCATGAAAATATTTGTAGAAAAGACAGAGGGAAGCAACGTCACGTTGGTGAGAAAGTGACTGAAGTCAAGATGCCAGGTCAAGATCAATTACATTACAAACACTTCTTTGAATTTTATCAAGAATCTCGAGATATACAGTAGGAGCAGCAGACCAGATATGGCAGCAGTGTTCAATGTATGGATTAATGGTAAATTTATAAATGTGCAAGATGGATTCTGGCGAGAAAAATTGTCTGGTATGACACAGTGAACAAACTTTCCTGGCAGCAGACCTAGCAATTAATTCAATATAATCATTCCACTTCATGTCAGTTGAAAATATGAGCCCAAGAAAGTGTAAAATGTTGCTCTCCTGGAGTTTAGCATCAGTCATGCTGATGGCAGGCAAAAAAAAGTTCTCTGTGGTGATTAAATGAAATGTAGTTTTGCATTGGAGGTGTTCAAATTTACAAGGCATTCCTTGCCCTAGTTAACCACTTATCGGAGGTCTTTTTGAGAGCAGTTGCCAGTTTTACTTTGTCGGATCTGTCAGACTTGCTATGAAGACAGGAGTAAATAGATGTATCATCCGCATAAATGCCTAGTTGGAATATAATAATTTAGTGTTAGTTAATGAAATGGTATCTAATACTGGGACAAATCTTTTAAATTCATCTCTGTTGTCCATTTATATAATGTACAATACCAAAGAGTTCTACACAAATATTTCTGCAACAAAATAGCAAGCAGCACACCTAATATCTAGGGTTTATGGTCACATCACATTGAAACACCAGTTCCTGCATGATCACCAAAGTTAAACAATGTTGAGCCTAATCAATACCTCGATGAGTGACTGCTTGGAAATACCAGGTGCTGTAAGCTTGGATGCATGGTTGGTATAATGGATAATGGTTTGGAATTGTTAATCAGAGAGCCAAGTTCTAATTCCAGTTGGGTACATCATATTTATTTATGTACAATTACCCTTGAGAAAGGCATAAAACCACCTCTTCCCTCCTTCCAGCTATGGGTTAATTATTAAGACTTGTATCACTAAAACCATTATTATCTCCAAAAAAAATATTTAGACTTCAGCATTAAATAACCCATAAAGGTTGATATGCTGCTAAACAAAAACAACCAACCCATATAATATGTTAGAGCAACAATAAGCCTAAAAACAGTATCGCTTGTTTCGAATTGTTTTTTCTTCAAGTTTTCAGTTGTGTTCTTGGTCTTTATTAATAATAGGATGAGCCTCTCTCTCTCCCCCTAGTGAAGGATTGAAATTTCAGATCTCAACCAATTCTTTTTTTCATAGGCTTTTCTTTGTGACATCATTGGAAAGGTGCTAGTAAATTGAAGACAAAAAAAAATAGAAGACAAAAAAAACACTGATTTCCAATAGACTGAAGATATACCAATTGACTAGACAAGAGAAAATGAAAGAAAAAGATATTTTTTTTTATTGGAAAAAAAAAAAAAACTAAAAAAAGGTAATTAAATTTTTCATCCACGAGAGAAGTAAAACAAAGAGACCATCTGGTTTCAGTTAGGACTGAAATTAAGTGATGGAATATTCTTGGAGGTCCAAGGACCTCCTGGAAAGAAATAGATAATATTTTTATGACTATTGAGTGACAGAGAGGAAGACAGACCAATGGTCACTAATTCGGTCAATTGGTAAGGATTAACTTTTAAAAGTAGACAAGTTTCCAGCAGAAAACAAATAAGAGAATGATAATTAAATTTTTCAGCTGCCGAAATATGATAAAACTTCTTAAATGTTGACAAAAGAGTTGTCAAGGAGATAGAAAATGATAAATCACTGATGCGAAAAACGACCACACACAAAAGCATGATAAGAAAAACTTTTGAATAATAATTAAAATTTGGCTGTTTGGGCTAGACAACGCCTAGCCTTTGGGGGGCAGGTTTGATCAGATGACCAAAGAGGAAAAGGTCTTCCACCTAAATTTCAGAAAAGGTGGAGGACTTTCCACACCTCTCAGAAATGATTTTAAGAAGCAAAATGACAAAGCAAGGATAATAAATAGGTAGAATTCCAAGGAGGGAATAAGAGGTTAGGTCAATATTTTGGATTTATGGGATAGCCCTGATTGGTTGCCCAAGGAATCAGAACACTTTGTCACCAAAGCACATCATGCTCCATCCCAACCCTTGCACATGGGTCCATAAAAACAGAACACTGAGTAGATGAAGACAGACTACAGAGAGACATGGCAGAGCAGATACTACAATTTATCCAAATGAGAATCTCTCCATGGAACAATTAATGCGCCCACAGCGGTTCAACATAGAACCTGATACTACAGACTCTGAAAAGCACTAGATACATTGGTGAGTGATATTCAAAAACTTCTTACAAGCAGTACATGCAGAAACTCCACATTGGCCATTGAACAAGCTTGGACTCTTAACTAATTATATATCACACTCATAAAATAATACTGGACTGTCCCACTTATAAGGAGGCTATGGACATACTACAAGCTACTTACCGGAAACCAAAGAATGAAATCTTCTTGCAACATAAAAATTTTACAGGATGCCAACTAAATGGTGAATCGCTGGAACAGTATTTTAAAAGAATTAAGAACTCAAAGCAAAGACCGTGACTTACAGCCAATGAATGCCAAAGAAATTCAAGATGAGCATATTCTGGACACTTTTATCAATGGTCTACAGAATGCCCAGGTAAGGCAAAAACTCCTTGAAAGTACCAATCTAAATTTAAATACAGCTTATGAGCAGGCCTATACATTTGAGGTAGCCCCAAAACAGTCTGTGTTCTACTTACAGACTGATACTGCTGGTGCTACTCCGAACACTCACTATTCTCGTTTACCCTCCTCTTCTACTGCCTCTTTTATTGTAGCCACCATAACAGTTGCTTCTCCAGACTGCCTTTCAAAAAGCATAATGCAGATTATAGTTAAAGGCATTGCTACTGATGCACTAATTGATACCGGCATTTCTGGTAGTTATATTGATTTCAGCATTGTGTAGGCTAATCTACTCAGGTGTCTATGGCAAATGCTGCTCTATCATCACAAGTGATTGGATTACTGCCTTGTTAGCCTAGAGTTAAGAAATGCTTTATATAGAAACATCAAACTCTTGATAATGAAGAACCTGTGATGTGATACTGGGGCATGACTTTCTACAGCATCATTCTAGTATCAAGATTCCTTTTGGAGGACCCAAACCAGCCTTCAGCATTTGTGAATTAACAGCAGCAGTCAATTTCCCATACCCATCACTCTTCAATAACTTATTTCCAGACTGTAAAGCCTATAGCAATGAAGTCAAGACAGTACTCAATTGAGGACAAACAATTTATAAAAGCTGAAATTACAAGAATGCCCAACGAAGGAATCATTGAAACAAGTGAGTCTCCATGGAGAGCCCAGGTATTAGTAACATCTTCTGAGAATCTGTCTATATTTCTGAGATGAGGTAGAAAGAGAGATGAGAATGGAGAAAGATTTTTTAACAACACAATCCCATTCCTGGATGTTCTATCCTCTTTGGTTTGAACAGAGCATGGGTTTAAGACATCCATATGTTTAAAACCGACATTCACCGGACAGTACCACAATTTCAACTCCCACCATACATACTGAAGCGTAAAGAAAGGGATAACCCATTGCTTACAACATTGAGCAAAAGTCAAGAGACATTAGATAAAGAATTAGTCAGTATAAAAGTAGTACCCTACAATGATAACAACTACCCTGGGTACAATTTTGTAAAAAACTGGGATAGGCGGGTACAAGAGGAGGAGGAGGACAACAACACTCAGAAAACAGTCTGCCTGCCTTATGTGAAGGGGTTATCAGAGAAAAACAAAGGATCTGCGGTCCATATAACATCAGGACAACCTTCAAAAGCTTGATGACACTTTGCAGATATATCTCTCAGAAGAGACCCCCATAGAGGAGAACATGACTAAAGACTGTGTGTGCATGCTATCCCATGCAGCTGCTGGAAAGGAATATAAAGGAGAGACAGGCTGCCCCTCAAGGTAAGGCTTCAAGAACACCAGAAAGCTGTAACACAGGGGAAGTGGAAAAATCAGTGTGGCTGACCACATATGGAGAGAGAAGGAGATCACCGCCCTCTGTGGGATCATGTTGAGATCATAGACAAGGAACACCATTGGAAAATTTGTAAACTTAAGGAATCCGCACATATGCTAGGCCACAAAAATCTCCTGAGCTGACCAAGCATAGAAATAAATACAATATGGGAACCAGTAATAAGGAGTGCCAGAGAAAAGGAATGCTAACAACAACAGTTGCAATATGAGCTCTGGTAAAAACATGCAATGATAACAACAAAAATTGCAATATGAGCACTGGTGAAAATGGTTGCTGAAGACATTAGGTTTATAATACCCAGAAATTCATACCCAAGGACACATGGCACAGTGGATAAAGGCATTGGTTAGATCCAGTGACAGGACCCAAAGAGTGAGTTCAATACCCAGTTAAGGCAGTGGAGAACTTTCAGAGGGAAATTAACAGGAGATAACTGATAACTGACATCCATTAAACATGGCACGTGGAACTAGAACAGTCTACTCCAGTGAGCGAAATAAAGGGTTCAGTTTGACATTACAACCACCTGAAGAAGGCTGGAGTGTACAACGGCCGAAACGTTGTAATAAATATGGCGACAAAGATGAGGACAATAGTCCGAATAATGTATCTTCTGAGAACCACAAAAAGAAATTAGTAATTGATTACTCTCAAACCATAAATAGGTTCATCCTATTAGACACTTACCCACTACCACGAATAGATGAAATCATAAGTGAAATTGCCAAATATAAAGTGTCTATGACCAAGTAGCTATTAAACCTGCAGATCAGGCCTGCACAGCTTTTGAGGTAAATAGTCGCATCTATCAGTTTAAAAGTATACCATTCGAAGCTTCCAGCGAATTACAGATAAAATTATTAGTGACAAAAGATTGGAAGGCATTTTCACATACATTGACAACGTAACCATATGCGGACGCAATCATGCAGATCACAATCATAATCTGAAACAATTCATGGTGGCTATTGAGAAATATAATCTCACATTAAATGTTTTTTGGCATAGAGATCATTAATTTACTGGGGTACACCATGAGTAAAGGTTCTATGCCACCAGATCCAGAATGATTGAAACCTCTACTAAATTTGCCAATTCCTAATAATATGCGTGATCTAAAACTAACTATGGGTAGGTTTGCATATTACTCCCAGTGGATTGCTTCTTTTTCAGATAAAATACATCCATTGGTACAAGTGGATAGTTTTCCTCTTTCTTCCACCGCAACACAGGCTTTTAAAAATCTTAAAAGGGATATCGCCAACTCAGCAGTTACAGCTATAAATCCCACCATTCCTCTGGTAGTAGAGACAGATGTATCTGATTGTGCAACTGCTGTCTTTAAGGCAATCTGGATGCCCTGTTGCATTTTTTTCAAGGACCTTATCACATTCAGAACAGCAACACTCAGCAATTGAAAAAGAAGCCTATGCTATAGTGGAGGTATTCAGAAAATGGAGGCACTACTTGATAGGACAACATTTTCAATTGATCACTGATCAAATGTCTGTTGCATTTATGTTCAACACTAGAACAACTAGTAAGATTAAGAATGACAAAATAACGAGGTGGAGCATTGAACTCTCCTGTTTTTCTTTTGATGTGAGCTATTGACCTGGGAAAGAATGCTGCGGTAGATGCACTATTGAGGGTATGAAGCTTGATACCAAACATAGATGAGCTTTGTACCCTTCACAATGAACATAACAAGGATTACACATGTGGTACGAACCAGAAACCTACTATATTTCACGGACAACATAAAAGAAATTCTAAAATCATGTAGAATATGTGCAGAACACAAACCGCAGTTCTTCAGTCCTAATGCCGGGACACTTGTAAAAGCCACTCAACCATTTGACAGGTTAAATATAGATTTTAAGGGTCCCCTACCACCAGAAAATAGAAATCACTACATGCTAACCATCATTGATGAATATTCGCGATTCCCATTCGCATTTCCGTGTCCAGACATATCAGGAAATTCAGTAATACAATGCTTATGCTCTTTATTCACCATTTTTAGGGTTCCAACTTACATCCATTCAGACTATGGAGCCTCTTTCATGTCTGAGCAATTGAAACAATTTCTTCAGGAACAACAAGAGGCCACAAGCAGAATGACTCCATACCTCTGTCAGGGTAATGGCCAATGTGAATGGTACAATGGCATTATATGGAAAACTATACAACTAGCCGCCACAAATTGCAAATGTCTGATCTCCCACTAGGAAGATCTCTTGCCCGAATTTCTGTATGCTATCAAAACACTTCTATGTAAAGCCACAAATGCTATGCTTCATGAGAGTTTCCTCTCATTTCAATGAAGAAGATTGGCAGGAACTTCACTTCCTTTATGGTTCTCTAAACCTGGAACAGTTCTTCTGAGACTGTTCGTCCATCATAACAAAAATGACCTATTGACAAATAGAGTGGAGCTAATTGAAGCAAATCCTCAGTATGCCTGGGTGTGCCACTTGGATGGGAAAGAATCTGCTGTTTCCCTGAAGGACCTCACACCCACAGGAGATGTACTTAAACCTGATATAGCTTGCAAGGAGAGGCCTAAATGTCAAAACCCTTCCACTACAGTTGAAAGTCAACATGACATCATTGAGCCATGGGACTCATCAACTGACTCACTGCATGTATCTGATACTGAGTTCATATTGTCTTAGGAGTGCCATAGGGCCCAGGGGGAGCTAGTAGTGGATGATCACTTGATACCTCAGAAGCAAGCCCATCCCCAAACTGATTCAGAATCAGAATCACAACAGTTCGCACACAGGAGACATGTTTTTCTTTTCAACACAGGACAAAGGATGAAAGCCAATCACAGCAAGTCTTTTAACCCAGAAACCCAGATTACCAAGACATTCCAGAAGAACCTGCAGAACACCAGCAAAATGGAATGAATTTGTCCCATACGACTAAAATGAAATGGGGGAGAATGTTATGAATAATCAAGAGTGATTTCCCCTTGTTTTGTTACTCTCCTCTTTGAGAGAGCTATTTCTGTATACTGGGACTAAAAAAGGACGCTATACATGAACTTGTATTCTAGGTTGAATAAAGCTTTCTTAAAGCCTGCACCTGCATACTTTTGTCATTACAGTCATATCTTCAGAATACCGAATTATAATCATTTTTTCATCAAATTAATTTTTTGCTTCAAAATTTAATTAGTCATGTCATTTCCAAATTTAGTCTGAGAAGTGATTTCACTTTTATTGCAAAGCAAAAAATAAATACTAATAAACTTATAAAATAAGAGTGAAGACAAGAGAAAATAAAATGAAATAAACAAGATTTACTGATATCATATACTCAATAAAACAAAACTATCATGAAATTATTGAAGCTGTTAATAAAAAAAAAGTGGGCACCTTTAAATGTTGATCTTCTTGAGGCAAATTTTCCATTAATTGAAAAACTATTAACATTTTATAGCATATTACCTAAATAAACAGAAAATAATTATTCAGGTTTCCAGATAACTTCAGCCATCAATGACAGCTACAAATAATAAAGATTTTGGATTACTGAAAATCTCTTCAGTCCTCTATCAGAAGAATACTAACAGGTGCTGAACCTTACCCAGACAAAGGTATGTGCTATGGTTGATGGTTATCTTCAAATATGTATATAAGATGCTAATATGTATTAGTATAGTAACAGCTTAATATATATATATTTTATTGAAGTGTCTGCAATATACTATTTTTCACTGTATTACAGCGATAATCTGATTTTAAAAAAAATTTTGTTGCTATCATCATACTTTTTGACTTGCACAATAAATACACTGGTAGAAAGGTACTTATCAAGACGATAAGAAATTGTTAAATGCATAAGGTTATTCAGTATTTGTTTTCAAATAATATAAAAAGTGCTTCATAAAGAAATTATGAAAAGGCTTTCTACAATATGATTAAATTTAAGCACTGATAAAAAACAATTACATCAAAATTTAATAAATAAATACAATTTCTAAAATGAGCATTCCAGATTAAAAAGATGAAAGCATGCAAAATTGAACATGATAGCTTCCAAACCCTACTCACCATAAAATAAAGAAATCAAAAAGAATTTTTAAGAAAGGAAAATTCAAAATTACACAAAGCATTTTTTTAATAAATATACCAATTCACCTCAAAATCTGTCCGACTTCTTAGGTAATCAAAATCTGTCCGACTTCTTAGGTATTCAAAATCTGAGCCAGAATGTCGGTGAAATTCTTCTTTTTTCCCAGTGTTGAAATCCACTGTCTGGAATAAAAAATGTCCAAACATTTAATACAATAAATATTTAATGCAAATATACCACAACCACAACTACCATTATACTAAACATCAACTGAGTAATAGATTATAAATTACAATTGTGGGAGAGTTTGTAATTGTCTAGATTTTTAAGCTAAAGGAAATGATTGCAGGAATGATGAGAAAACAAATTAGAGATTTAATAGAATTTATTTTGGTTAACACACCAAAAGTACAAAGGGTCTCTAACCAGAGTAGTCAATTCAATATAGCCATAGGATAAAAGTTTTCTATTTACACAAGAAAAGCATAGTCATAGCAAAACTTGTTGGTTGGATCTAGTGAATTAAAAAACATGCATCTTCAATAAAGAATGCACAAGTCTGATGAAACACCACAGGAAAAACTGTTGATTTTCTCTTATAGCCCAATGGCCCTTTTATAAAGTATCAATTGTATAATACATCCCAATCTACTTCAGCTTAAAAACATTTCATTTTAGTTTGTTATACTTTACTTCAAATCTCTTTGTAATTCATTATACATCAAAATCTGCCAGCCAGATGTAAACTCTATGAAATCAAAATTAAAAAGAAAAAAAGTTGCTCTCTGCACAGGGGCTCTGAGCATTACATCTGGCTCACAAAATAAATCCTTTCATCCAATATAAAATACAATTTAAAAGGAACCAATGATGAACATTACTACTAAAGCAAAAGTATGACAAAAAAAAACTGAGTCATGCATCCATCCTGACTACTTAAAAGGAAACATTTGCAACAATCAAGTTAGTCACAGGTGGGGAGGCAGGCTGTCACCAATACTACTAGTGGTCTTGGTCAACTGACCTGACACAAGCTTTAACACCAGGCTCTATGACAACATAGGATAAATACACAACTGAAAAATATACATAAATTTCTTACCTTTATATCTTTCTTGGGAGAACTTGGTTTTATCATTTTTTCAGCTTGTCTTTTATCAGCTTCAATTTCCTTATAAAAAAAATCATTATTTATTACAAAATAAAGTTCATGATTTAAAACTGAATAGCTAAATATGAGAATAACTACCAAAATGTGACACAAATGACAGACATTGGACAATACAGATTTACAACAATGACAAAAATGTTATATTGTTGTCATAATTATGACAAAGTGATGAAATAAAAGTGTTAAGTCACATCTTTTAATATTTTAGAATCATTCACTACTAGTATGAAAATGATTAGTCCAACTATTTACAACAAAGAGCAAGAAGAGTGACAGAAATGAGTTAATGTTACTAATCTCAATGAATAAGGAGCCATATGATTGTGATACAAGATATGACTGACTGCTTACTTATGCACAGTATAAAAAAGAAAAAAGTGTGCTTGTGTACCATTTAAGCATTAATTTGTAAAAAATAAATTATTATTACAATAACCAAGGGTTTTCCAACAATATGCCATATGTCTATAGTAAAATTACAAATATAAAATTAACCAAAAATTACACAAAAATACCTCTCAGACAATTATCAGTGTAAGACAAGGATGCCTACTCTCTCCTATACTTTTCAACCTGTTTCCGGTGAGAATTATGGGGGAAATCCTCCATGACCACAACACTTCTATCTCTGTTGGTGGTAGACCTGTCTACAACGGGTTTTTGCTTTTATAATTATGGTGGGCAGTAAAAGTAAGCTAAACAACAAACTTGTTGAAAGAGCCGGCACATATGGAATGCAACTCAAAACAGAAAAATCCCAAATAATGGTGAACAGCACAATCAACATCAGTGCCAGTATCACCATGTACAGCAAACCACTGGAGGAAGCTGAACACTTCAAACACTGTGGAGCAACCCTGTCAAAAGATCACCACAGCAGCAATCACCAAACTGGAAAGAATATGGAAAGTCAACATTAGCTTCCATAAGTTCAAGCTCTACAAATTGCTGCTCACATGGGTGTGAGACTTGGACATGCTTGGGTGAGATAAGAAAAAGGATCAAGGTGTTTGAGAATAAATGCTTAAGAAAGCTCCTCTGCATCTCCTACTGGGAGCACAAAATCAAAGACTATGTATGAACTATGTACAAAGCAAGGTCAAAAGTCTCATGGACCAACAGGAATCTCTTCTCACCACCTGGAGGATGGCATGGTTTGGCCATGGCATAACAGCCTCTGCAATACCATCATGCAAAGTACTATTGAAGGTGGATGCAAGTGGGGATGACAATGCAAGAGCTGGTCAGATAACATCAAAGAATGGATGAACATGACAATGCCAGAACTCCTGAGAGCTACTGCCAACAGATCATCCTAGAAGAGGTTGTCTGTTTCTTCTGCCCTTTGTTTCCCCCTGACAATTGAAGAATTCAAGGAACTAATCATGGTGATTTATCACCATTTCTTGCAGAACCCCTAACAACTTGTTGCAAAATCCCAGGGTTCTGGAGAACACTGGTTGAGAAACATTCACACACACAAATCATGTCAAGCCACTCTATGAGTGCTACAGTTAACACATTACTAATTGCTACATAGCTATGTCATCAGCAACTAAATTAGCACCCCAACCAGGATTTTATGGTGAGGAGGGTGGCTAGACACACAGCAGGATTAAAAATGAGACCTGTCAAAGGATGAATGAACCTTCTTGTAAGGTCAATAGTCATCTAGCACAATGGCTATGTATACATCCAGTGTGTTGATGACATGGCATCACTAGGCAGAGAGCTTCCTAGAATGAAGTCAACACCCAGGTCAGAGGGTTCATCCAATGAAATAAATTTCCATGTGTAGATGACCTAAGCAAGCCTTCAAGGTGGTGGACATAGGCTCCACCAGGTTTACTTGCCCAAGACACACTACACATGAATGAATACCTATCTGTCTTTCAACCCAGATACATGTAGAAAACTGGCCAAGTGCTCAACTACACAGCAACCCTACAACCACACATGGTCATGGGACTGATTATGATGATCTTTATAAAAACATTAACATAGTAATAATGAGTCTTAATTATTTTTCTCAAAATTTATACAATTTCTTAAAAATAACTGCCAATCTATTTTAAACATATTACATAATTATGATCTCTAGCGGCAAGACTGATACATGCATTTTCCAATGCACACCCTTTCCAAACTAATAGCTTAAACAACAATAAATGATTGAAAATGTTTCATCTAAAAATAAAAATAAATTGAAAAGAATTTTAATACACTACCTAAAATTCCTAAATTAGAATGACATATATATATATATATATATATATATATATATAATAAAAGGCTTAAACACTAATATTCCATGGTCATAATTTATTACATTGGAATCTCCCTCCCCCCCCTATATTTTTCCCCTCCCTCTTATTCTGATCTTCTACATTAGATCGTCTATGGTATGTGTATGTAAGGATAAATGTATCTTTATGCATTAGACATCGACAACATTCATATTTCTCTTACTTAAACCCCTTCCACCACCTCTCCTAAAATTCTCTCTGTTAAGGTTTAATCTCCTCCTAGTCTGTTACCCCTCATACTTACACTCTCTAAATTCTGTTTTTATTTCTGGAGTTGTTTTTTTCTGTTTTCTTTTTGAATTTGTAGGTCTGATGAATTGGATTGTATTTACGATTCCAATGGAATAAATTATGACCATGGAATATTAGTGTTTAAGCCTTTTTATTATATCCTTACTCTGTCCTGGACATTGAGTTCTACCTGGATTCTATCCTCTTGGAATTTTTATTCAAAAAATATACATATATGGGTATTTATATATTTTGCATATGTATGTATATTTACCACTAATATTATATATATGTGTGTGTGTGTGTGGTGTGTGTGCCTAAAAAAATTTTAAAATACAACCTCTTCCCTCAGCAAAGAAATTAAGGTATGAGTATTTAACACTTTTCAGAAAGGACATTAGAATAAACCAGACTCTGTGCATGGAGCAAACTACTTGCATAGAAAAAGAATTCAGTAAAAATGCTAAAATAGAAAAGAGGTGTAATACAAGGATGTGTCTTCTCACCGAATTTATTCAACCTATACAGTGAGCTAATACTGAGAGAATTAGAAGTCCTACCAGAATTCATTATTGGTGGCCACAATCTTAACATAATATATACATTGGAATCTATTAATTTCTTGGAACTTCATTTTAACAGAAGATAGAAAGTGTAACACCAACGTCCAAAAGCAAATTGAGGTAGCAAGAGATGCCTTCCAAAAGCTAAGCAGAGTATTAAACAAGAAAATTTCATTAGAAACAAAGAAAAGAGTAGTGGTATCAGTCCTCCTCTATGGAAATGAATGCTAAACATTCTCCTCATAGATGAAGAAGAGACTTGAAGCAACAGAAAATGGAAGCAAAAAGAACAATTATACTTAGAAAGAAATAGCTGAAATTTCTAAGGCTTATCATGAGGGAAGAGGGCTTGGAAAATTTGACACTAACAAGACATAGTGAAGCAAGAAAAACAGGGAAACAACACATAAACCTACCTAACAAGCTTTTGTAAATGGGTGGTAGAACAGGATTTAGAAGAGATAACAAAAAGACAAAATTTACTAAGAGCTACAAAGAAGTAAGAACTTGTACACTGTCTAAAGTCCACATCCTACTAGTATCACATATGATGCTTTAACATTAAGTGCCTGTTTTCTAAGTTTTTAATAATTACATTCAGAATACAAGAAACATCATCTTTAATTGATTCATTAGAATATATTATAATGAAAAACCTTTCTACATAAGTTTATGTATTTTCTGTTTATACGTTATTTTTATAGACACAAATATTTAAGTAAATGCTCTGTTTATAATAAACTGTATTAACTACATTTACCAACCTGAATGTCCAAGAAATTTCATAGAAAATGTGTCCTCTAACAGGAATCAAACCTGTATCCTACACGGAACCGTCATATAGCTTGACGCACTATACCATTTAGCTACAGAGGAAGTGTCTGGTTAGCAAAGTCCAATTACTGTTTTTAAACAACAAATTTCCCAGGAATTCTCTTGAACACTCATATCTGTTCAAAGCATATCTTAACATAAACAAATGACATCATATATTATGACATATAAGTTTATGTATAAAACAATCTAAACCTACTAGTTATACCAATAGCAGAATTATCCTTCTTCACTTTTCATTTTCTTCTAAGTCATTAAATTTATCTGATAGAAATTATAAATTGTAAAAAAGATAGAAATATACTCAACTATAGAAAGAATTAATATAACAATTTATAAAAGAAAATAATATTAAATCTACAAAAAGTTATAAAATAAAAGATATTGATAAATTAGATAGCTTATAATGTCAGATACAAGTATTTTACTCTCCAATTTCTAAGAATTAATTCTTGTCCTGAAAATTATAATGATCAGATTTCAATATTTCAGAGAACCACAACATGAAAATATGAATATATAAACATTAGAATGAACAGATTTATAAATTGCAACAAATAGTTTTTTTATAGGCACCTCAGTGAGGAGAAATGGTTAGTAAGCTAGTTTAGTTGGCTATGTACATAGAGAGTTTGAAACTCAGTGGCTTTGTTAGAAAAAAGTGTTATTCCAAGATTACACATAAAAACTGATTTTTTTTTAACTACATAACAAGGTGTAAATTAGTCAACAGGTTCAGATGATAAAGGACTAAAAGTTTGACAGGTCAAAGGTTCTGCCCCAAGTATCAAATATCATTTTTTACTGAGTTAATTGCAAAGAATGACAGCTCTATGTACTAAAACAATAAAACAATTCCATCTAGCAGTTAATATTTTATATTAAATTTGCAATATTTCTAATTTCACTTTTTCTTTTTTTTTCTAAACTTATGAACAGTTTATTTTTCAGAACCAACTTCATAATTATTTTACTTTATAGTGCCATGTATAGTGTAGAGTAGTTGTTAATGTGCTAGTTCAGCAAAACATTTAATAAAGAAATGAACATTCTTCATTTGGTTTCAGTGAAATTGTCCAGTGAAATTGTCAACTTTATTTTTTTAACTTTAGGCAGATATTTACATAAATATAGTTTTGTCACATTGGTATCACAATGATAGAGGTGAAATCTGCCAGCAGAATCTAGTCTGTTATTTTTAGATATTACCTAATTCTTTACATTGTATTTTATATCAGTTTCTACTTGGGCTGTAATTTCTAAACTTCAGACTAGGAATGACTTTATGTACCTCATTTTGTAAATTTGTTATATGATCATTTTTTTCAGAATTATGGCTAGTTTAGAAGTGACACTGTCACATGAAAATAATTTTAAGTCATTTTGTCATAGCAAAAGTGACACTGCTTGTCATTCAAGTTGCAAAATGATAAAAAATGAAAACAGATATAAACAAGTTTTACAATCTATCTACAAAGTTCAAACCAAATGCTCCATATAATTTAAAGTCTAGAAAAAGGATTATTGCTCAAAATGATGGCCTGAATGATTGATATGCTCTCAGTATATAATAACCCAAATTAATCCAGTATTTGAAAGGTGTGTTTTCTAGGTGAATTAACAGTGATACTGGAAATTTGTTAATATCCCAAGAGGTCACATTGTATTATAAGTGCATATGGTATCTATTCAAGTGTAACAAATGGCTGAACAACAATATTTAAGTATTTATTTCTTTTCTTCCACTTACAGCAAGAGCAAAAAAGTATTAGTCCTCATTTTCAAGTAAGATTTTTGAATACAAAAAATATATAAATTCAAATTTAATATTTTTAAATATGACACATTTGAAATTTTTTCTTGAAGTGATAAAAGTTAGTATCAAGCAGGCAATTCTCATTATCATACACTAATTGGAAAGTAAAAACTTAATATAGCTGAGTGGTAAAACCAAAACATTATAATCAATGCCACCTTGTTAACACTCATTACCACAAAATTCCTTTTTTAAATCAGAACAATCATTGTTCTTTCTTAAAAGGTTAAGAAAGTAGCAATAAAATGCTATAATTCTTCAGGATATAAGTAGCCATGTCTATTTACTATTTATTGACTTCTTGGGAAAAGAAGTGTTACAGTAATGGTTTCTAGTTGCCTTTTCCACAGTTTTGAATTTAGAGTTGTCTTTATCCTAGACTGCTAGCCATCTAAGTCTAGAAAGCCCAATATAGTCTGGGAAGTATATGAATAGTGAACTCTAAAATCACCTGATACCTGAATACTCTTACATTAAGGTAACTATATCACAAATATTTTAATACTTTGCTGTTTTTGCTCTGCAGCTTAATCACACCCAGACAAGCTGTCAGTGTCTCCTACATTAACTAGAATTGTAATGAAGGAATAGATACCTTAGCTTTTCAGGCTATTAGTAAACATTATCAAAATGATTAACTTGGTTTAGTACAGCTTTGGAGAAGTTATCTTAAGCAAGTCTTTCAAACCTTATAAACAATACTGTAAAAGCTAAAATACTCAAAGGATATTAAACATTAATTTATTCGAAGTGCTATCCTCATCTTGGTTGTTTTCATCATAATGCTTTGGTTATTGTATTCTCTGGTTTTCTTCAGGTGTCTGTTATATTTGGTATTTATCTAATCAATGAGAATAGGCTCTTCTAGTAAATATTTCATATTAGCTAATTCACCCTTACCACTTCAACACATTACACTAAACCAGAGTATATGAATTTTACTACCTGATCCAGGAACTGAACTCATCATCATGAAGTAAACTACATACAATACTCACATCCACTAAGCCATTTTTCTATGGTGGAGGAATTAAACCTAATGTTTTTTCTGTACTGAACAAATGCTCTCATATCATGTTCTATTCTAAGCCTACTAAAGTATTTATCTGAATCTAGTATGTGCACTTTCAATCACCTTATTTTCAAATATTGCTCTCTATTAGAATAATAGCTCCAATTCCATTCTAAAGTAGTTGGTGATCGCCCACTTTTTTTCTCTACACAGGATCAGCCATACCTAAATTCTGAAACTCTCTACAGACTATAGATCTCCAATGATTTTCTAGTTTTACTATTAAAGTGACCAATTTTATAACCCCTGCTACAACTGCATAGAATGTTATACATAGTTGTTATCCATATTCTCATCATCTAAAACCTTAGCTCTAGTCAATTTTTTAATACTATCCTGATGTTGTATGGACTGCAGATCTGAACTGACTAATTACAACAACACTGAAACCAAGTAAGATATGTGAATGACACCATAATACTCTGGCCTAACTAGGAAGATGCACAAGTTATTTATTGAACTGTACTGAAGGTCTTATTAGTTCACATCAAAAAGGAAACATAATAAACAGACCTTAAACAGAGCATACATTCAAAACATCCATATAGCATAAACCAGCATTCACTAGACAATATCTGAATTTAATTTTCACTATCCATACAATATGAAAAAAGGAGCATCTTTTCTCTACAATATAGAGCCAAATAGAAGTCGTGACCCAGACAAGAGATTATCAATGTTAGGAACACTCTTAGGAGTAACTACACTGCAAGAATAAATCCAACCCTGAGCCCCGAGTTATGGTGTCTGGGAAAGTCAATTTTTGTGAGAAGACACTTCCAGAAAGATGCCATGTAGGAGTAAGGATGAGACATTTCCCTGCTGCTCAGTGGCAGTAGCAGACAAACTGTAATCGTTTTGTGTCTTGTGACGTTTGTTACACACATCCCATATGCAAGAGCTTTGCGTATGTTGGGATGCATGTAACAAACTTCACATACAACATAATTTTTTTTTAACCTGGAGGTCATGATTTCAATCTCTGTATCAGGCAGTGAAATCCATATACACTGGTTCAATGAAACAAGCAAAACTAGAAGAAGAATTAACTAATGTAATATATTCTATAACAAGGATAGCAGAATAGGAACAGTCTACCCTTATAGACTGAATAAAGAGTTTGATTCAAAATTCCAAGAAAAATACCAAATACAACAGGTATTGGAAAAGGGCTAGAAGACATAATAACCAAAACAATGTGACTATAACAAACAAGATGAGGACAACAATTCAATAAGTGTATAACAATAATTCTTAAACACAGAAATTCAAACAATAATTCTTAAACACAGAAATTCAGTCAATAATTATTCAAATGAGATATTTCAATTTGCACAGTCACAGAATTTTAACTGGAATCCTGTCAAATTTTCAAAAAAATAAATAATAAATTAAGAATTTAATAAACTGTTAACAATTTTTAGAGGATATGTTTAATTAAAATTAATTTCAGTGAAAGTAGATAAAAATCAACTTTTATTACAAATGTCAAATGAGCCAAACAGTTATAATCTGGAAATTGACTAATTTTCATAACTAATTGGTAAACATGCAAATACATTTGAAATGTAGCTGTAACTATATCAAAATTTAAATCTTTCATGGTTTATTGTTACTTTATTTTTTCAAATGTACAATATCCATAATATATACATGCTATGAACAATGTGTGAAACCTTTCTGATAATGTTATGAATATATAAATAATGAATTTCATTAAATATAATATAAAAGTAGGCCAGATCTTTCTTAGATACAGACATATCTTTCCACACCTTTGAAAATGAAATTATTTTATTTACGTTATCCAGGATATGCCTTGAAATCAATATCCATTGTTGTCTACATTTTTTTTTAATATTAAATTATTACGGACTAAAAGTAATTGTTAATTTAAAAAGAATTCATTTTAATAAATTATTAGTCACTATTATGTATGGTAAAAAAAATCTAACAGAATGTCCTCATTTTTTTACAGAGAGCAAATAATAGGCATCGCAATTACATAATTCAATTATTAAAATTTAATAAAGTTTTCATAAATAAATAAAAGTTAAATAATGAATAAGAAACATGGTGTTTTCATCCTGAATGCTGCCCTGGCAGCATTAGCAGTTTAGGATTGAAGTGACAAATATTAAAATATGTTTGTTTTTCAAGAAGAATTTCATTACATATGTTAAAATCAAAAGCAAAACTATTTTTGAACATATTGTTTTTAGTTATAAAAAAATAGATAACTTGTAGATAATTTAAGAGAAATGTTTAAGAGGTTTCTCAGTTAAAATTATGTTGCTAGGCAGATTAATTGGTCAAATATATCAGTAAATGTAAAATATGCCACTCTAACTTTGTAGTGATAATATAATAAGCTCTAAGATAATAAAACACTTTAAAAATTATTTTTGGGTGGTTTGTTTAAAGAAGCCATCAATATATGATTAGGGATTATTGTACTGTGTAAAATTTAGTTTTAATTCCTTTGAAATAGATATAATTTAATGTAAACACATAGACATATGCATGCATGTGTGGATGTCCATATTCTCAGTAACTAAGTTAGCTTTCAAGTTTTTGTACTTATCAGTTCATTTACAGAGTTTATCTTTATCAATAATCAAAAGTTGTAATGTTTTCATAGGCAACTGAAAATTCAAACAATTTTAACTGAAATGTTAATATCAGCTTCCAAAATAAATATATTTTCAAAAACTTAAAAACTGAATGTCTTTTTATTCAAAATTTTAATAGCTTACCTCATGTCTTTTTCGAAGAGCTTCATTCTTTTTACGAATCTCTTCCATTTTCTTTGTCAGTAATGCTTCTCTTTCTTCTTTGGTCAATATGTCCAGAAAAAGCTCTTTGTCTGCACTCATGTGCTAAAATATAAGAAAAATGCAGTAGAGGGGAAGATAAGAAAAAGCAAAAAATACAAAAATAACTGAAAAATAAATATAGAACTTATTATTCATAAAGAGACTGCTTAATAACATGAATTCAGACACATGTTTCTATATATTTATATCAAAGCATGAAATATCAAATAACAAAATAAGTCAGCAATATGTTATTAATTTGTTTATATTTTGAACAAGGAATAACTACCAAGTAAAAGTCACAAACAATTATGCTAGATTTCTGCTCACAAAAATAAGCCATTGTTAATCCTAAAATTTGGATGAATTTACTATTAGAATATGTCAGGAATTAAATAACTGTTATAAGTTTTTAAACTTTTTTTTTTAATCAATTTTTCTATAATTTACAGCAAAACTCAAATTGAATTTTATTTCACATTCAACATGGCTACCTTTAGATAGCCCAAAATAAATGTCTGTACAAAATTTAAATGAGCAAAATTCCACTAATTCCTCTACCTGTAAAATTAAAAAGGGTAAGGGAAAAGAAATACATGATTGAAAGTACTTTCCCTACAATTAATTCAAGATAACAGACCAATTTGATGACTCACAGGTGAAAAGGATTTAGACTATAGAGGAGGACGCAACAGAGAAGAACAAGTGAGAAGGGTAGGTGATGGATAAAAGACATTTACAAAGAAAAAAATAAATTAAATATCATTCAAAAATAAAATAATAAAAGTCAAAGAATTAAATATTTTAGTTTTTCCTAATTTGTAATTTTTTCCTACCTACTTTTGTTACTTTTTTATATTAAATATAAAAAAGAAAATTATCTCTTCTCTCTCTACATTATATTTATTCTATTCTATATATATATATATATATATATATATATATATATATACATATATATACAAAACATAATATATATATATATATATATATATATATATATATATATACATATAAAAACACTATAAATATATATATATATATATATATATATATATATATATATATATATATATATATATATACACACACACACACACACATACATACATACATACATACATGTTAAAATAATTTTGAATTAAAATAAGTTGAATTAATAAAACCAAAAAATTACCGGCATATTGATATCTTCTGGAGAAATTTGACCAGAACGTAAGACGTTCAATTGGTTCCCTAAAAGTATGCATAGATCTATGTTTTCTTTAGAGTATTTGTCTCTCATATCTGCACTCAGTCTTGGTAGATCACCTTAATTAATCAAGTTACAAAGACATATGCATCATATTTCAGGGTAGAATCCCATCGCACTTTGAGTCATGTTTAATACAAGTAAAGATACATCTTGTCAATGTATATCCACAGACATTAAAATCCACAAGAAAGCAGCTAAGAAACAACCAACACAGTCAAAAAGAGTATGTGAGTGTAAGTTAGTGGCCAAATGAGCAAGCTGGCAGGAGGAACATTGATTAGTTGCAGTGAGGAATGAAGTAATAACCAAGGCCAATCAGAATAGCTTAGAGTTATCTCCCTGTAACACAGACAGCTCCCACCACCATCTCCTCTAGCTAATTGATATTTCCATTGGCCTTGTTAAATCAAACTTGTAAAGTTCCTTGTTAGAGGTGAAGCAAGATTGAAGCAGAATGTTGCTCACTACACACAGCTACTAATCAAAACCTAATTTCTCTACTCAGAGCTGGGACTGAATGAACAGTAGAGGGCAATCCCAATCTATTTTATCCACTATCAAAGAGTAAGCTTTCTATCATATCACACAGTAGATAAATGTAGAAAAATGAAAGCTATCACAAGAATGAAATGATAAATCTATATCATCCAAATATATTTGATTAAAAAAAACTACAAGTAATGTAAGAAAAATAGAAAAAAAATAATAACTCTACAACTAATGTAAGAAAAATAGAAAAAAAGATAAAAGCAATATGCTACATACTCACCCAAGTATCTGAGACATTCTTGCAGTACTAATACTATGTCACTATATTATTACAATAGGAGCTGGAAAGTCAAAATATCATCATCATGGTTATTATTATTGTATTTGTTCTTAATATTTGTCTTTGCTAGACAGGGATCAGATCAAATTTGAACATTTCAAGACATAATAAAATGTGTACAGGTTGGAATTCAATAACCATAGAAAAGATATTCCATCAAAATAAAGAGTCTGTTCCTTATTAATACACATATTACTTCACATCTACATTAATAAGCTTGAGTAGACTTTAATGCTTTAATTTTTTTTTAGGCTCATCTACATTAACTTAGCATTAGACTTATTGTTTACCTTCTACAAAAGTTTCAGTATTTATTTTATTCATAGTTTGGAGAGAGATTAACTTTAATATCAGTTAAAGAACTTCAGAGTGACCTTTAAATTTTTTGAATTAAACTATTGTCTTTGAAAATTATTCAAAGGACAAACTAATCAAAATAACATATCATAGTTTATGATAATTGATAATTAAACTTTAAACAATACCATCTAACTTAACTCTATTGAATCAGATTATTTTATAGCAGATGAAATCTAATGAGCATCACTTTTATACTGTTTCTCCACACATCATATGTCAAGAATTCTCATAACATCTACTAATCCCCACCAAATCCCTAATCCAAAATACTATAATTCACTAGTCACTACTGAGTGAAAATTCTACAACAGCATATACCTAAACAATTCTCTGCTAAGACTTATTTTACTCATTTATCTAAAAATATATATATATATATATATATATATATATATAATTATTTTTTATAAAAAAAAAAAATTATAACATAAGTATGTTATAAAATCACTACAAAAATAGCCATTTTGTTTCAAATTTAATAAGTGGTTAGCATTTATTTAATGATACTTTAAGTGTGAAATATTTATTGGTTGTGATATCTGATTGTCTATGTCATTGTCTGTGGATGTATGTATGTGTATCTATCGGTGTCTCTGTGTATGTAGAGTGTATTCACATTTAACTGTGTGTGTATAAGTGTTGGTTTTCATGTCTCCTTTTTTTCATAAAGGGCTGTAGAGATGTTCATGTCTTGCCCCCCCTTTTTTGTTTTTTTTTTTTTTTTTTTTTTTGTGTGTGTGTGTGTGTGTGTGTGTGTGTGTGTGTGTGTGTGTGTGTGTGTGTATCTAATTATGTCTGGGTGCTTATGTATTATAATCTGATTGTGTTTTTGTTGTTTTGAGCGTGAGTTTAAGACCAAATTCACACACTTTAAAATAAAAAAGGAAAAGAAGGGGAAAAGAAAGAAATATATATACATGTATTGTCAAATGACCGGATATATTGTAGCGTCTTGTCGAACGTAATTTCAATGAAGAAATGAATTGAATAAACATATATATTTTTTCTTTTCTCAATAATTTTGTAGTTTTTAAACTTAATAGTGATTAAATTTGGATTTTAAAATTGCCAGAATTTTTTAATTTTAATATTAAATTTTATCATATAATTTTATAATTATTGGTTAGTATAAATATTTTTTTAATATTACACGTATTTAAAGATCTGAATAGCTATTATAACATTATTTCGTTGTTAAGCTTTTTTGAATCTTTCTATACTTCGTTTTTGATTGGTTATTCTAGCTTTTTGTAACAATGTTTCCCCTAGTGTATGATCGTTAATTAATCTGAAACTTTTAAAACCATTTATTTTATTTTCAACATCGTCACTTGATATATATATATATATATATATATATATATATATATATATTATTATTATTATTATTAATTAAAGAATATCAAACACTTAAAATTCTATATGTAATAATTTTTATTTTATGACAGCTCCAAAAAAACAAATAAAATATAAAAATATACAAAAAATATAGGGAATTAAGCCCAATCTAACTTTTCCTTAGTTTAAAGTAGATTCATATCCTGCTAAATATTAATAAATACATCTAAAATACTCTAGATATAAATATGTTTCTCTGAATATAATTAATAATCATTTAATTCAAATTTTTTGGGTATTTTAATTTAAATTTCTTGGTTAATTATATAAAAAGCTTATGAAAACGTTTTCCCTAATTTCAAAATCTTTAAAAATGTTCTCTTTTAATATTATTTACAAACAATTTGTTGAATGAAATATGTCAGAATTGAAAATTTGGCCATTGGCAGAAACAGGCGGGATTGTTTCAGATTCACAATGGACTAAATACACTTTAAGTCCTTCCACCATCCTCAAATGAAATACTGAGGTATAGGTTAACACTCTCTGTCTTTTCCCCCACTCTCTAAATAAGATAGCAATATCTCATGTTTTTAACCCAGAATATTTTTCCCATTTCATTTGTGATTTGTTTGTAGGTTTTGAAGATTGACAGCTGCTGTTTTTTAAAGCTATCATGAAATAAAAATTATTACCTATGGTATTTTAAGTGTTTGATATTCTTTAACTAATAATCTGCTCTGTCTTTTGACATAGAGCTCTCCCTGGATCTATACCCTCCTGGAAATTACATACAGATTACCATATTTTATCATTACTATATATAACAGTGGTAAAAATAGAGCAATAACAGCTACTGGACTTGAGAAACTTATTTGAGTAAAAAATTGTTTCAGTAGAAAGGTTTTATAAACTTCAATTGAAAGTATAGCACTAGTTACATGGTCAATGAATGCCAAATGTCTCCTTATAAGGAAATGGCTAATTACTATTACCATTGTCCTATGGGTCAAAGTTACCAAAATTGACAGACGCCTGAAGAAGGCCAGAGGGCACAATAGTTGAAACATTATGATAACGACAACAAAGAGGAGGACATTAGTCCAAATGTAAATAGTTTAAATCAAGGTTTCTCAACATGGGCTATGAGATATTTTCAGGGACCACAAGGCCAAGTTTGAAAAATGGGGAGCACAAGGAAGCACAGAAAATTTAGGACCCACAAAATATATATGGAGTATTTTGTAATTAATAATTATTATTTAAAATATTAAATTT